TCGCTCCCATCTTGTTCCTCATCCTCATATCCGACATAGACAAGGATGTCAGCCACAGCATCGTGTCTTCCTTTGCAGATGACACCCGAATCTGCATGACAGTGTCTTCCATTGCAGACACTGCAAAGCTCCAGGCGGACATCAACCAAATCTTTCAGTGGGCTGCAGAAAACAATATGAAGTTCAACGATGAGAAATTTCAATTACTCAGATATGGTAAACATGGGGAAATTAAATCTTCATCAGAGTACAAAACAAATTCTGGCCACAAAATAGAGCGAAACACCAACGTCAAAGACCTGGGAGTGATCATGTCTGAGGATCTCACCTTCAAGGACCATAACATTGTATCAATCGCATCTGCTAGAAAAATGACAGGATGGATAATGAGAACCTTCAAAACTAGGGAGGCCAAGCCCATGATGACACTCTTCAGGTCACTTGTTCTATCTAGCTGGAATATTGCTGCACACTAACAGCACCTTTGAAGGCAGGTGAAATTGCCGACCTAGAAAATGTATAGAGAACTTTCACGGCACGCATAACGGAGATAAAACACCTCAATTATTGGGAGCGCTTGAGGTTCCTAAACCTGTATTCCCTGGAACGCAGGAGGGAGAGATACATGATTATATACACCTGGAAAATCCTAGAGGGACTAGTACCGAACTTGCACACGAAAATCACTCACTACGAAAGCAAAAGACTTGGCAGACGATGCACCATCCCCCCAATGAAAAGCAGGGGTGTCACTAGCACGTTAAGAGACCATACAATAAGTGTCAGGGGCCCGAGACTGTTCAACTGCCTCCCAGCACACATAAGGGGGATTACCAACAGACCCCTGGCAGTCTTCAAGCTGGCACTGGACAAGCACCTAAAGTCAGTTCCGGATCAGCCGGGCTGTGGCTCGTACGTTGGTTTGCGTGCAGCCAGCAGCAACAGCCTGGTTGATCAGGCCCTGATCCACCAGGAGGCCTGGTCACAGACCGGGCCGCGGGGGCGTTGACCCCCGGAACTCTCTCCAGGTAAACTCCAGGTAATATCTGCTTGGAGTCTCGTGGTGTCTTCGATGGAGGTCACTGCCATGGTAATCCGTGTGACATCCGCAAAGGAAGACACGGAGCTATGGCTTACATCTCTGTCTATGTCAGAAATGAGGATGAATAGAATGGGAGTTTTTTACCGTGACTGCCTGGGACTCTACTCTGTTTACTATTACTCTTTGTGTTCTCTTTGTCAGGAAGTTACAGATCCATCTACCAACTTTTCCTGTTATTCATTTATCACGCATTTTGTGTGCTATTACACCATGGTCACACTTGTTGAAAGCTTTCGCAAAGTCTGTGTGTACTACATCTGTATTCTGTTTATCCTATACAGCATCCAGGACCTTGTCATAGTGGTCCAGTAGCTGGGACAGGCAGGAGCGACCTGCTCTAAACCCGTGTTGCCCTGGGTTTTGTAACTGATGGGTATCTAGGTGGTTGGCGATCTTGCTTCTTAGAACCCTCTCACAAAGAATTTTATGATATGGGATGTTAGTGGTGTGTAAGGGTGTGTAGGGTGTGTAAAATAAGAAAATTAAAAGTGAGCATAGAAAACAACAGTGATGAGAGTAGCAAAATATTCAGGCAAAAAAAAAAAAAAAAGTGGGAGTGAGTATGGATGAAGTGAAGGTATTTGGGAGTGGACGTGGTGGCAGGACCTATGAAAGATGAAGCGAACCACAGAACAGGTGAAGGTGGAGAGCTCAGATGTGTGTGGAGAGAAAGAAGCTTATTTAAAGAGGTAAAAAGGAGATGTACCAGACTATAATGGCACCTACTCTATTATGTGGGTGTGAGACATGGACTTTTAACGTTGCAGCAAGGAGGAAACTGGAAGCAGTGGTGAGGAGGGACCGTTGAAATAATTTGGGCATTTTATAATAATAATAATAATAATAATAATAATAATAATAATAATAATAATAATAATAATAATAATAATAATAATAATTATTATTATTATTATTATTATTATTATTATTATTATAATTATTATTATTATGCAACTTATACAGACCTTACCTGGAGTTTACCTGGAGAGAGTTCCGGGGGTCAACACCCCCGTGGCCCGGTCTGTGACCAAGCCTCATGGTGGACCAGAGCCTGATCAACCAGGCTGTTACTGCTGGTTGCACGCAATCCAACGTACGAGCCACAGCCCGGCTGGTCAGGTATCGACTTTAGGTGCTTGTCCAGTGCCTGCTTGAAGACAGCCAGGGGTCTGTTGGTAATCACTGGACATCACTGACACTACTACATAGTTATGCAGAGAATTTCGGGCAAATTAGGTCAGTTTTGTCCCAGAAAGCGACCCACACCAGTCGACTAACACCCAGGTACCTATTTACTGCTAGGTGAACAAGGACGACAGGTGTCTTAACGAAATACGCCCCAGTATTTTCACCTGTACCGGGGATCGAATCACGGACCTCAGTCTGTCAGATGAGTGCGCTACCAACCCAGCTGAATAAGATGACAAAGAGAGTGTATAAATCCGGGGTGGAGAGGTCTGAGTATTTTTTTTCTTTTTACATAAATAAAGTATATGTAAACCCTATATTGTGATCTTTATTGAGAATAAACTTGATTTGATTTGATTTTTTTTACACATGGTTTGACAAGGTTAAGGATCCCTAGCTTTATTGACAAGCTATTTACAGGTTAAGGATTCCTAACTTTATTGGCAAGCTAAGAGCTGTTGCCTACATCAGCTCATTTGAAAGCATTTTTATTGTTATGAGACATACAAGTAGGGAACAGGATGAAGTTGGAGCCATCTGTGGGCCAGCATTTTCATTTGATCAACTGACTTTATTTCGTTGACATCATTATGCTGTACGAATGTGTTCCATACTCGAGTCATCCTGGGTATGTATGATCTCAGATGGACTGATGTTCTGGAGAAGGGTACAGCCAGAGTGAAGCTGCGTTCTGCCCGTCTTGTGGCATAAAAGCTTGTTTCACGCTGTCCTCGAAGTGGATCCAAGTGTGGTACTTTGACAATATTGGCCTTGTACATAACAGTAAGGCCACCCACATCCCTCCTGTGTTGAAGGCTCTGCTGAAATGACAGGTCTATCCAGGATGGGTCCAGGCGAGAGATGAGAAGTCTTGTTCTCTACTCTGTCAAGTAGTCGCAGATGAGACGGGGGGCAGGCAAACCAAGAAAGTGGAGCATACTCAAAGTGTGAGCGTACTTGTGCCTCATACAGAATCTTGCAAGCCCTACTGTCAAGCAGATGCGAGATACGGCGAAGTACTGTAAGCTTCCTGGTTGCCTTGTTTGCAAGATTTACAACATGGTTCTTCATGGTCAGTTTGGAGTCAAATTTCACCCCAAGGATATCAACATCTTCTCCAGGTGCCAGCACCCTCCCATTCATCCTTACTACTGCACCAGCATTACCATCATGGTGCCTAGAGACGATCATCATTTGCGTTTTCTCAGGTGCAAATGTTCCTTGCCATCTATTTCCCCAAGCTGATATAGCTCTTAGCTGGTGATTGATGTAGCTTAGAGCAGCTGGCATTTCTTCTCTTGGATAAGTGAATGTCAGTGTACAGTCGTCTGCATATGCATGTGATTCTGGGATGAGATGAAGAAGGTCGTTGAAATAGACATTCCATAACAATGGTCCCAGCACGCTTCCTTGTGGAACACTTACTCCAATAGGATTTCGGGGAAGGAAGAGAACTAAGACCAAATATACTTAAAAATTTTCGTTTTCACTTTCATATTATTATATTTACGTTGAAGCACTAAACCCGTAGGGGAGAAAATCAAAATTAATTACTGGAAAGGAAAGTATATCTCTAATTCCGAGAGTCAAGAGCACTTTGCTTTCCTCCAGACATCCCCATTGATTATTATTATTATTATTATTATTTTGATTATGATTATTTTCCTGGGAAGCTGTAGCTTGGTAGAGATCATGTCACTCCTGGTAAGAGGAAGTGAGGGGAGAGTAACTTAGATTTCTCGCATCAGGAATCTTTTGTCAGCACGGTGGCCCGTGGCTTAATGGCAAAAGTTTTCGCTTCATACGCTGAGGATCCGGGTTCAACTCCCGGCGATGGTACAAACATTGGGAGTATTTCCTTACACCGGTTGTCCATGTTCACCCATCAGTATAATGGGTACCTGGGTGTTAGTCGACTGGTGTGGGTCGCATCCTGGGACAAAACTGACCTAATTTGCCCGAAATGCTCTACATAACCAGCGGCTTTTTATATAGTAGTATGTCATTGATGTTATCTAGGCCTGTATACCTTGTACAAGTACTTGTAGAAATAAAGATATTATTATTATTATTATTATTATTATTATTATTATTATTATTATTATTATTATTATTATTATAAGGCCACTCCTAGAAATACAAATATATACAATGTAACATATTTGAGATTAGTGAATAGAACATGGACAACACCTGGAAATTTTTTATTTCTGGTATATGTGTATTACACTGATAAAGTTCCTGGTAGGCGAGAAATTTGACTCAAAATTAAGAACATAAGACCTTGAGGAGTAGGCCTACTGGCCTATGGTGCTTCACATCCAGGTGTTGCACGTGTCTTATTCACTAGTGCTTTGATAGTATATACTGCTGATGTAATTATAGGTAAGGCTGGGAACAATAGATGAGGTGAACATGTATTGTGTAGCGAACATGTTACAAGTGTTTGTTTAAACTGAGCGCCTCATACCCTCATACATGTGGACCAATCAGCGTCCTCCACGACCAGTGTCTGAATCCGAAACCTTTACATTGTACCCTATAATGCCTACCTATTACTAAATATATGGACGATTATATGACATTTTTCCGTGCTTAGATTGCTAGCATAAGCAATATTATATTGATATATATCTTTTTATGTGAGTTTAAAAGTTTTATTGTAGAGTTAGAACATTAAGGATGGAATCAGTTAAATGCGAGGAAGGGATTAGAACACGGGGTAGTTTGTTTACTGCCAGGTGTAGGGAGGAGAGAGATCCTCACCCACACTACTTCTGTTGTGTGGGAGACTCAACCCACACGTTCACCACTTAGATACTTGCCAGCACTCAGGTGCACGGCTCAGTCACCTCTCAGCGGCATTAGTCACCACTGTGAGGCTTCATCTAGGGGTTGATAATCTCACCATGGCCGTCATGAAGCTCTTCCTTGGTAAGAAACTTTTCCCCGTGAGATGTTATATCTTTGTTCTGTTATGATGCCTTGTGTTGGTGAGGGGGCTCTTGGTCCAAGGAGTTGGACCTGCCTTCTTTCTTAGATCGAGCCTGAGTGCCTTCCATTCCTAGGTACTGTATGACCTCTTCAGATTTAGCGCTCATCCCTTGAATTTATTCAAGTTTATTCTCTATAAGGGTTACAATGTGAGGTTTACAGGTTTTGGGTATTGTGAGGTTTACATGTTATAAAATACTAATTACAGAGGGGGCCACTAGGACACCTAGCATGACTAGGCATTTCCAGCAGACTTAGATTAATTCTTAACATTAAATCCTTACAGATTATGGTATTAAGGCTAAGTGACTACATCATAATTTGTGAGTTTAGCAATGTGAATGCTTTTGTTTTGGCACAATACAAGGTGTCTATATTGGAGTATCATAGGCAAACTTATGACTAGTTAGGATTCATTATTTTAAGATTAAGATTAGTATTTCTGGGTTTATAGTCAGTGGGTGAGTGAGTGTAATTGTGAACCACCAGGTGGTTATCATGTAGTTAGTTGTCGGGGTGGATCAGGGAGATAAGATGTTTTTTAACTGTAGTTGTGAAAGTGATGAATGTGTCTGCAGTTCTAGAGTTTTCAGGTAGGGTGTTCCAGATTTTAGGTCCTTTGAAATACATTGAATTTTTGTAAAGGTTTAGTTGAACATGGGGAATGTCAGAAATGTTTGTGTCTGGTGTTATGCCTGTGGATCCTGTCACAACTATCAAGAAAGCGTTCTAGGTCAAAGTTAATATTGGAATTTAAGGTCCTGTAGATGTAGATTGCACAGTAGTAAGTGTGGATGTTCTGAACAGGGAGTAAGTTTAAATCTATGAAGAGTGGGGGGGGGGGGTGTTGCCAGGGATGGGATTTAGTGATTATTCTTACTGCGGCTTTTTGTTGGGTTATTATTGGCTTTAGGTGTGTTGCTGCAGTTGAACCCCAAGCACAGATAGCATAAGTAAGGTATGGATATATAAGTGAATGGTATAGTGTGAGAAGGGCAGTTTGCGGCACGTAGTATCGTATCTTGGAGAGGATCCCCACCGTTTTGGGTACTTTTTTTTGTTATGTGTTGGATATGGGTGCTGAAATTTAGGTTGTTGAGGTATAGGCCAAGGAATTTGCCCTCATTATGTCTGGCAATTAGTGTTGTCGATCTTAATGTTAAGTTGCGCAACACCTGCTCTGCTACCAAACATAATATAGTAGGTTTTGCCAGTGTTAAGTGTAAGTTTATTGGCTGTTATCCAAGTTGATATTTTGAGCAGCTCCTCATTAACAATGGTGTTGAGGGTGGCAAGATTAGGGTGGGAGATGACATAAGTCGTGCCGTCAGCAAAGAGAATGGGTTTCAGGTGTTGGGATATGTTTGGAAGATCATTGATGTAAATGAGGAAGAGCAGGGGTCCAAGGACACTTCCCTGCGGAACTCCAGTATCAAGTGGCCGTATTGATGAGGCTGTGTCTTTAATGGTGACATACTGATACCTATTAGAAAGGTAGGATTTAAAATATGCAAGTGCATGGCCTCTTATACCATAGTGGTCAAGTTTGTGGAGTAGGATGCCGTGGTCTACTGTGTCAAACGCTTTTCTTAGGTCAATAAAAATTCCTAGCGGAATCAAGATGCTTTGGGTGATGCTGATGGAGAATTCTGATCCGGGGCATTGGAGCTGCCTGCTCTTGCATCAGACCTGATTGCTTTATATTCCTAGACAAGATAGGATAAGATTTGTTTGGATTTTTAACCCAGTGGGTTAGCCACCCAGCATAACCCAAGAAAGTCAATGCATCATCGAGGACTGTCTCTTATTTCCATTGTGATCCTTCAGTCTTGTCCACGAACACCCAGGCACCTTCTTACTGCTAGGTGAACAGGACAGTAGATATAAGCAAACATGCCCATTGTTTTTACCCAGGCCGGGGATTGAACCACGGATACTCAGTGTGTGAGGTAAGGGTGTTGTCTACTGAGCCACCTTAATGGGTTTGATATTTGTGGTTTGAGTGGTAGTGTCCTTGGCTCACATCTGTAGGACCCAGGTTTGATCTTGGCACAAGTGGAAACATTTAGCGTGTTTCTTTTTACTTGTTTTTCATGTTCACCCCCCAGGGAGGTGCCTTGATGCTGGTGAGGGACTCGTGATCCAAGGAACTGGACTTCAACTTCCCTTGCATAAAGTTGAATGCCTCCCATTCACTTGACATTGACTGCTACAGGTTTAGTGTTTTCCCTGATTAAGATCAAATAAGTTTTCCTTGTTCACCTAGCATCCTGGGAAAAGGTATTAAAGAACCCCAATGACAGTAAGCCACATCGGTTGGTTTTCCTGGGTTATCCTGAATTACTGATCTGGGTTATTAATGCAGATAAAAAACACAAGAGTAGCTATAATAGGCAATAGCTACATATAGTACATGTTAGGTAAACAATATTCCCCAAAAGCCCAGACTTAGGAGAGAAACTTTACTGACATTTTGATCCATCATAAACATTTCTGAAGTGTACTTTATATCTGTACCAAACATGGCATGATATCCACCTATTTGTTTTTAATATTTACACACTTCAGATGCCAGTTATTTTTAACTTTAGTTTTGAATTGCTTGTTTACTTTGTTAAATTAATTTTACTGTTATATACAGCCTCTCCTCACTTAATGATGAAGTTCTGTTCCTAAGACCATGTCAGTAAATGAATTTGTCACTAAGCAAGGAGCATACTATAATGGTAGTGGGTTTGTGTCAACCATCTTTGATATTGTTTTAATGTTGCCTTTGCACCATTTGTAACATTTCTAGTATATTTTTAAATGTTTATACAGTAGTGTACTGTATATTGTAATAAACAGAATGGAGGAAATCAGATGTAATATACATTATTTAGGTATGCATACTGGTCAGAAAGCTTGTTATAACTGAGTCTTCAGTAAACGAGTACGTCACTAAGTGAGGAGAGGCTGTACTAAATAGCTTTTGCATGTGTATGTGGAATTAAAATATTTGGAGTCTGGAATGTTAGTGCAGTCAGTACACAAAATTATGAAATATATTACAGTAATATGGATCCTTGTTTACTCGTTAACCTGTGGCAGTTCTGGGAATATCAAGATGATGCAACTTTGACATTAAAGTTCCCTCTTAAAGACACAAGTGTGACAGTACTTTCCTTAGTTATAGGGTGTTAAAAAAGATTTGCAGTATTCATGTTCTTTAAGAATTTTGCACTTTTTACCCCTGCTTTTAGTTGGGTATTTTACTTTCTCTGGTTCCTGTGTAGGGTATTTCAGCCCCATCTGTCTTGAATACATGCAGTATGGTGCCCCTCAGGGAAGGTTCCTTGATGTTGGTGAGGGGCTCTTGATTTGGGGAATTGGATCTGTGCTCCAGTTCCCTGAATTGAGCCTGAATGCCTTCCACATCCCCCTCCAGGCGCTGTATAATCCTACGGGTTTAGCACTTCCCCTTGATTATAATAATAATACAGTATGGTGCACTTATGTTTTATTAAGTAGATGTACAATAAACCCTTGACTTAAACTTTGATTTAATGAATCTCAGAAATACATGACAAAATCCACTGTTACAGAACTGTTATTAATTGGTGCAGAACAGTCTTTTACCCACCACAGTCACCATTACCAGCTACCCACCTCTCCCTATTAGTCAGCTCAGTCAAGGGGGGTTTATTGTATATTTTTTTTAACAAGTTAGCTGTCTCCCACCAAGGCAGGGCGACTGAAAAAGAAAAAAAATCCCTAAAAAGAAAAGATACTTTTATCACTCGACACTTTCACCGAGATACAACAGTTTAGAAGCACATGTAAAGATATATAACATATCCCTCCAAACTGCCAGTATCCCAAACCCCTCCTTTAAAATGCGGGCATTGTACTTCCCATTTTCAGTACTCAAGTCCGGTTATATAAAAATCACCGGTTTCCCTGAATCCCTTCACTAAATATTACCCTGCTCACACTCCAACAGCTCGTCAGGTCCCAAAAACCATTTGTCTCCATTCACTCCTATCTGGCATGCTCACACATGCTTGCTGGAAATCCAAGCCCCTCGCCCACAAAACCTCCTCTACCCCCTCCCTCTAACCTTTTTGAGGATGACCCCTACCTTGCCTTCCTTCCCCTACTGTAGATATCAGTAGTAATTTGTAATTTAAACATTGTAGTTGACAGTATTTAATAAACTATATTTAGTATGCAAAACTGACAGTAACTCTCTAATCCACAGCTGTTTACGTAGTGTTTGTGGGAAGCGTCTCTGCACTGTATTCTGCTTCCAGTGGAGTGATTGATCTTACACAATCAAACTTCCAGCGAGAGGTAATAAACAGTGATGAAGTATGGGTAGTTGAATTCTTTGCTCCCTGGTGTGGGCATTGTCAAGCACTGGTTCCAGAATACCAAAAGGCTGCTCAGGCTCTGAAAGGAGTTGTGAAAGTTGGTGCTGTTAATGCTGATGAACATAAAGGTTTGGGAGGACAGTACGGTGTACGTGGATTTCCTACTATCAAAATATTTGGCCTAGACAAAAACAAACCAGAAGATTTTAATGGACAGCGAACTGCTCAAAGTATAGTTGATGCTGGCATGAAGGCTGCTAAGGATAAAGTGAATGCTCAGTTGTCTGGAAAGAAGAGCAGTGGTAGCAGTGGTGGCAGTGCCGATGATGTCATAGAGCTGACAGACAGCAACTTTGAGAAACTAGTTCTAAAATCAGATGAACAATGGCTTGTTGAATTCTTTGCTCCCTGGTGTGGACATTGCAGAAACTTGGCACCTCACTGGCAAAAAGCAGCAACAGAGCTAAAAGGCAAGATTAAACTAGGAGCTTTGGATGCTACAGTACATACTGTTACAGCTAGCAAGTATGGTGTACAGGGCTACCCTACTATCAAGTTTTTCCAAAAAGGAGATGTAGAAGACTATGATGGAGGCAGAACCTCTTCTGACATAGTGGCCTGGGCTAATGATAAGGTTTCAGCAAATGTCCCACCTCCAGAGATAAAGCAGATTATTGGTGAAGAGAGTTTAAAAGATGCTTGCAAAGAACATCCCATTTGTATTATTGCAGTCCTTCCTCACATTCTAGATTGTCAAAGCAAGTGCCGCAACAATTACATTAGTGTGTTGACTAGACTTGGTGATAAGTACAAACAAAAGATGTGGGGTTGGGTTTGGTCTGAAGCCATGGCTCAGACTGATTTAGAGCAAGCTTTGGATATTGGTGGCTTTGGTTATCCAGCTCTAGCCGCACTTAATGCCAAAAAGATGCAGTTTGCTTTATTAAAAGGATCATTTAGTGAAGAAGGAATAAATGAATTCCTTCGTGACATTTCTTACGGACGTGGACGAACCTCTCCAGTTCGTGGTGCTCAGTTACCTTCTATATCAAAAACAGAACCTTGGGATGGCAAAGATGGTGCTTTGCCTGAAGAAGAAGACATTGATCTCTCTGATATTGATCTGGATGATTTAGGTGAAGGTGGAAAAGAAGAATTGTAAATATGAGTACTTTAGCCATAATTTTAGTTCTCCAGGTTGAAGTGGAGGGATAAAAAGTAAACGAAGGCATATTTTTCTCATGTTGAGAACATTAAATGCAGCTTCAGGTTGTTTTGGCTGTGAACCAAGGTCTGAAGTAGACATGCCTTACAATAATTGAAAGATCGAAAACCAGACTTTTTAACAGGGAGAGGAATGCATTAACAAATTTGTTGCCTACATTAATCCAAAATAGATAGGCATTTTCTTTGTTAATCCAATCCAAAGGCCAAAAATGCTTAAAGGCATTTACATTCCAGGAATTTGCAATAACTGTTTACTAAACCTTTGTCAAATCTTTGTGATAACTTTGTGAAAACCTGGTGTAGTACCATATTCTGAATATTTAATAGTAAGTTCTTGGAGTGGATAAGGTTTTTTTTAGTGTTCATAAGCAGAATTCCTTGTGCTAAGCACATTGTCTTTGAACACTACTCCTTAATAATTAGATTTTGGTAATTAGCAAGCAATTAATTTAATACATGCATTTGTTTCATTGATGCACAAATGTGTTCTATTGTGTGATTTTTTGAAATAAATTCTTTTGTCTAGAGCTGTTTGATTTTCCATTTATGCATTCAGATAAGATTGTTTTGGTAAACAAACCCTGAAGGAATATTTGGATCAACTGTATATACCAGTGTACAAGTCTACTTTTTAACCAGAGTATAAAAGTTGCTGACAAAGGTAGTAGGTTGGTAGACAGCAACCACCCAGGGAGGTACTACCGTCCTGCCAAGTGAGTGTAAAACGAAAGCCTGTAATTGTTTTACATGATGGTAGGATTGCTGGTCTTTTTTTCTGTTTCATGAACATGCAAGATTTCAGGTACGTCTTGCTACTTCTACTTACACTTAGGTCACACTACACATACATGTACAAGCATATATATACATACACCCCTCTGGGTTTTCTGCTATTTTCTTTCTAGTTCTTGTTCTTAATTTATCTCCATGGGGAAGTGGAACAGAATTCTTCCTCCGTAAGCCATGGTAGCAAGGGGCTAGTAACCTCTTCTGTATATATTACTAAATGTAAAAGGAGAAACTTTAGTTTTTCCTTTTGGGCCACCCCGCCTCGGTGGGATGCGGCCGGTGTGTTGAAAGAAAGAAAATAAAAGTTGCTGACAAATGGCAAAGGTGAAAATAGTCAACATGACTCACGAAATCGTAATGACACGATTGCAAACAAACCACACCCTGGCCGGGATTGAACCCGCGGGTTCAATCCCGGCCGGGGTATGGTTTGAAAATAGTCACAGCACATTACTGGAGGAGGGTTGTAACATCCTTGCCATATTGATGCTGTCCTGCTAGTATTGTAAATTGTAACACAATTGCAAGTTTTATTTGCTGTTACTTGTCTTTTATTTTTTTGTTTCTCAGACACTTTTTAATAAAAAGAATGCCACATTTTATTAAATAACTTTTACTAGGTCCCTTTCTCTTTGTATTCACTCTCGTGGCTTTTCTTCATTTAACCCATTTATATCTTCCCAGCATCTAACTTTTCTCTTCCCCCTTGGGAAGTTCTGACGATTCATGCCTGCTCTTCCTGACTTCCAAGTGCAAAAGTGGGGAATATGGGCATAAACCTGAATTAACACCTCAAAATTTTAGAGGCGACTTGTATGCTAGGTTGATTTGTACACCAGCATATACGATAATTGTAGTGTTGTAAAACCCATGTGGGTTTAGCACTTATAATCCTCTTCAAGGGGGGCTCCTTGTTGTGGTGAAGAGGCTCTTGGTCTGAGGAATTAGACCTGTCGGTCTCCTTCCTCAGACCGAACCTAATTACCCCCCAATCCCCCCTTCCCTATCCCATCCTCCCCTTTTTCCTTTCCTCCTCCTCCTCCTCCTCCTTCCTCCTCCCCCCTCCTCCTCCCCTCCCTCCTCCTCCCCACCCCTCCCTTTTGCCCTTCCTCTTTTTGGCCTTTGGGATTTCTCCCACAGGTGCGCTAGTTCCTAGGTAGGGGAAAGGATACCGGGGTCCATCCCATTCTGTTGAGGTTCTTGGCGGTGGCGTAGTTTGCCGTGGAATCTGGATCGCCTGGGGATGTCCCGATCCCTCTCCGGTATCCCGGAGTGTAGCTTTGGGTGTCTTTCGGGCGGCGGGTGTATCTCTGGAAGCCTCCTTTCGGATTCCGGGGGTGGTGGCCGAAGGAGGTATGCTTTGTGGCGGATATCCGGCCGCCCTCTCTTTTATCCACCGAGGTAGCTCGGCAGATGTGAGGTTGCTATCCCAGATTGCTGGTTTACTGGCATGGAGGGTAGGGTATGGCACGGGTTTCATGCTGCATCTGCGCTACTAGCGGTGCTGAGGTCCTCTTGGGGGTGGGAGGGAGATTTCCGGCCCTTTCATTCCTCCTGGGAACTATTCTTCCCTGCTCCCCCTTTTTTTTTTTTTTTTTTTATTTTTATTTTTCTTTTTTTTTCTTAAAAACAAAAAGCAAAGGAGTAACCTAACCATGGAGAACCCAATCCATGAACCCACTACCCCCGGGCCCGTTCTTGATACCGCACTCCATTCTGACCCTGCCTTGTTTTTAGACCACTCTTTGGACACTCCTGATGCCCCTGTACCTCTTGCTGGTGCTGTTTCCTCACCCGCTTCAGGTACCGGGGCTACGACTGATTCCTTCGATTTGTCTGACCTCCACTCTCCTTTGACTATGCTTCCGGCCTCTCCCTCTACGGTACGGCAATTTTCGAATTGCCAGCCCGTTTCACGATGGACCAATTCCGGTCCTACTCCTAAACGCCAACGTCAATCTCCTGATGATGCTCCTTCGTTACCTTCCCATTCTACTGGGAAACGACTGACACGTCATGCACTCCCTCTCCATGCTCAGTTTTGGACCACAGCAATGGACTAAATTCTTTACTTTAAGACTGACTTCTAATTCTGCCTATCTTTCTGACCATAGTATTGGCAAAGCGCTCCTGCGTCATGTTGGTAGAGATATTTCATTTCATGCTCTCAAGAGTGGTATGCGCATTGTCACTGTCCAGAATGCTACCCAAGCTCATGATCTCTCTCTCCTTTCGCATATCGATACTACTCCTATCACTACTGAAAAACATCTTTCTCTCAATTCTTGTAGTGGTACTGTCATTCTGCCCCATACCATAGTCCAACAGAATTTCCAGTCATGTGGCAATGACATTCTTGAACAGCTGGAACTCCAGGATCTCCCAATCCTCAAAGTAGACACTTACTTCCTTCCTGCCCGCGGGCGTAGACGATTACCCTGCATGTCTCGATTAACTTTCGACAGCCGGAACTCCTCCTCTTTATGCGCGGGACATCGTTCAAGTTCGAAGATATCCTACACTGCAACAGTGAGAAATTGTGCGTTTGGTCACCCACAAAATAGTTGCAGATCAGGCGAATGCCCAGTCTGTGGTGCCGACACCCATTCTAAGCATCTTGCAGTCAACCTTCTCTTGCCCAATGTATAGGCTCGCCCTTCGTACTTCCGCCGTATCCAGTCTACTTGAATGAGCGTGAAGTCCGTTGCCTCAAAGGGCAGAAGGTCTTTAGCTATGACAGTTACTCATTCTGCCTCCAAGGGAGACTCCCTGTGTTCAAACACCCCCACTTCTGGGGCCCATCTCTCAGCCTCCTCAGTTGTTGCCCTCCCAAACGACTCCATCTAACTGCGTCCTTGCAGTACAACTCATCTTGCCTTAATTGTAATTGACAGGCTCGCCCTTCGTACTCACGCCGTTGCCAGGTCTACTTAAAGCGTGAAGTCCGTTGCCTCAAAGAGGCAGAAGGTCTTTTATGCTATGACAGTTACTCATCTCCGCCTCCAAGGGAGAACTACCC